ATTATCTTGTGATTAATATAAAATATTTTATCATTATTATATAATATTTTGCATTAAATATATCCTTGTACATATGCATATTTCCGTATTTCATAACTTCATTATAGGAAATAGTTGACCTAATTGGCCTACATTTTAGGATCCTTAATTGCTAAATAGTTTTATAAATCTTTTCTTATACCTTTGTAATAAAATATACGGTGATATTTTTACATTATTTTTAGGATCGGATAACACATTATCACTCACTACTATTTTTGAAATTAAATTTTCTACCTTTGATCAAACCGTCAAGTGGAAAAATCTAATGTTCCTACATCAAGCTTACACCAAGTAGCTTTAGATTTTTACCTCTATAACAATTCAAGCATTCTACGAACCTTTTATAACTCAACTTAACAAATATGAGATTCTCTAGCTCATCTTGAGGTAATGGCCAATGCTCTTTGATCAATTTTAAAGAATTTACTTTTCTCTTGAGATCTTTAAGTTATACATCCAAAGCACCAAAATTTGTAAGATTCTAGTCCCTTAGTTGTTATTTTAGGAAGCTCAACTTCTTAATCTTATTGAACCAGTTAGGATATAAATAACTAGATCGCTCCCACATGTTCTAAAGAGAATCAATGAAATAAAGATGAGACCACTAGCGATCCAATCGTTTAAATAGCCTCAAACCCCATCAAACACCATTCGGTCCTACAAGTACTGGGCAATGATCGGACAATTCTCTATTAAGGCCTATAAGCTTAACATCTAAAAAATGAAATGTCTAGTGAGAACTACCAAACATCCTATTAATACGGGTTATGGAATCAGCTCTATATTAAGTAAACCTACGATCGGACAATAAAAATTCAATTGGTTTATAAATATTAAAAAAATCACCAAAATCGAAGCTCCACTACTATTTACTCTACCAAGTAGCTCTGTTTGAAACTTGTAGTGCTTCATTAAAATCACCAATCATTACCTATGGAGCATCAAAACCTAAATTAAAGACGAGTAAGCTATAAGAGTTTAAGCTAGTCTTTTGTTTAATTAACTTATTACATGACTTCATACTTAAATAAAGAAATATTAATGTTCAATTAAATGTACTAATGAATAGTATTAACTTTCTTGTCGAAGTCCTTAAAGTGGGTGGAGAATATCAAGGAAAGCATTAAGAAAGCATGGCGAGGTCTAGCACGAAAGTGATATTCGACTTCCTTCATCACATTAAGAAAAAACCCCAAGCCAATATATATCTCACGGGAGATATGGGATGCATGGCATAAAAAATGGGTGAAACTTGAGTTTGTTATCCGATCCGAGATGGTAGTCCGGAATCGCGAGAACGAGACTCGGTGGCATCGTAGCTGGTCCATCTAGACATACGAAGGGTTCGATCGGCCACGAGAGCACTATATATGGTATTAATAATGATTTCAACATAATTAATTAAACATTGAAGTATATTTCTTACATTTAATTATATTTGTTTCATCATTATGAGTTGGATCTTGAACTTAATGCTCATGAGGTTTTCTTGAGGACTCACAGAAGAAGGTTGATGATTAGTACATCTTCATCGATCAACGAGCTAGAATGGACTCGGAGTTCTCGGAGTAATTTATTAAGTTATAAGGTTATTTCATACTTATGTCACTTATATATATATTAAAAAATAATTGAGAGGGAGGTTGCTAGGCGACGGATGGAGGGTACTTCATCGATCAACATCGACATGAATGAGATTTTAAGAAGGTCGTTAGAGGGAGAGATAATAAGAGGAAAAGGATGCACAAACTCGGGTTACGGGCCTCTTACTATTACTCTAATGTCGAGTACATTCTATAGTTCGGCCACTTCGCAGTTTCATATCGATAATGAGGCATGACAAAAGGAATTAGAGGATCGTACTTCTAGACATGCAAAATAGATCTAAGCATCTAGAGGGTTCCGTTACAACACTTTTAGCTACTACAAATGAGTTGAAAGAGTACACTCGGGAGCAACATGTGATGATACAACAAAAGCAATAGATGTTGTTGAATATGTAGCGAGGCGGTTCGTCCATCGAGCCTTCGATGGACGATTCCACCCAACCTTCAACTCGACGACCTCGCCGATCGCTCCTAGCTTTTATGTTATCTTTTTCTTGTAATATTAACAAACTTTAACGTTTTTCATAATTAAATATTTAATTTAATTTTATATTAAGTTTTTAATTTTTAAAAATCTTATGTATAGGTTTTTTTTTTTTTTTTTTTTTTTTTTTTTTTGTTTTAAAATTGGAGTAGGTTAACTTAAAACAATTACAATTTAGGTAAATATTAAAAAATGAAAAAAAATTCACACCGGTTTTAACCATCTCTAAATCATGATTTTAGCGACCATTTTGACAAACCGTCTCTAGTGATTGTTAGTCAAAATGGTCACAAATTTGTTAGTGACGGTTTTTCTTCACATTAGCGACGGAAAAACCATAATTAACTTGGCGATAGACTAAAAAAAATATCACTGAATAATTAGTGACGAGCATTTTGAGGACAGTTTCAAACTATCATTAATCTTATTTAGTGATGGTTTTTTAGTAATTAGTAACAGTCTAGTCTAGACCGTTACTAATAATATATTTTCTGGTAGTGGCCAGTTTGTTTATTTCTTATTTGCTATTTGTTCTGCTTCCAAATATTGTTGATGGGCTCGTAAGGAAGTTGAGATCCCCATAAACTTAGGACACTGGTGAATGGGCCTTTTCTGTTGGTGATTTTTGTCTAGTCGGTAAAGAAATTGAATGTTTAAGATGCTGTTCAAGCAGAAAAAGTTACTAGTGAAGTTAGCTTTTTATACTTGATTTTCACGTCTTTTAGGGCAGTAAGCTTTCGTTATTATTCAAATGCCTTCCGGCTCTATTACATTATATTACTAATTCTATGGGGGATGTGTTGGAGCGCATGCAGCATAACGCAATGCAACCTATAAATGTTAATTGGATACTTCTCCTTAATTTGACACTTGAAGTTTCTTAATCATATTAGATTGAAGTATGGAAAATAAAGCATTAAGGATAGATGGATTGAACATGCTGTACATTCGGTTCCAAAAGAAAAACCCTTGTTTCAAAAATTCGTAGCACCCAACGCCCTGTCCATGCACGAACCCATCAAACATCTTTCAAATCATAAGCTTGGATTTTAGTTAAGGAGCTAAGCCTATCTCAAAATAGCCCGAGATACTATAACTGTGAGGTGAGCAACACGTGAGCCAATGTTGCAAATCGAAGAAGCATCGACCCATTTTCAAGGAAGAAAATCGTTGCAAGCAATGCCTAACGCCTTTGAGCTAGAACCATAAGCATCATGTAGAAGATTGTTGGCTAATTCCTTGTCTAACTAATCCTAAATAATTTTCAACTGTTCATCTGCCTAATTTCAAAAAAATGTTCAATCAAGCATCAGGATAGAACTAAAATTCAACTAAGATCATTTTTTTCTAGGCATTTTCCTTTCTTTTTTTTTTTCCACAAAGAATTTTTTTTTCCACAAAGAATCCAAGATTTCGGTTAAAAACTTGCAATAAAAATTTGAGGATGATCATAACAAATCAACTAGCTATCTTTGGCTACCAAATCCATTTGGTCGAACTATTGAGCTTATACGGTGCAACATTAGACCCTAAGCAAAAGAACTTAGCACTAACTCTTTTTTTTTTTTTTTTCCGGATGAAAAGGATCGATTTCATTAATTAATAGAAAATTAAAGAACAAAAAATTTGATTCAAAACTAAGATTCAAAATTTGACAAGCGACGGTTGCATATATGGATTGATGAATTGATTATATTTTGATCAAAATATCAACCGATGGATCAATCAACGCAGAGAAGAGAGAAGAGGAAAAGAATTTTTTTGTTTTTTGAGGTTCTGTTCTGCAAGAGAAAAAACCTATGGTGCAGGTATGTGTTTCTTCTTTCAGTTAAAAGATCCAAAAGATACTATATGATTAATATTTAATATTTCTTTTACTGTTAAAGGATAAAATCATCAACTAACAAACCAATAACATATTTAATAAAATCAATGAATATTTTTAAATTTTATAATAATGTATGGGGCATCATTTGAATTGTTTAACGGAAAGCATAAGATTTGATCTAATAAAATTATAATTTATATTTATAGGAGTTTCAAAATTCCTCTATCAAAACATGGATGCATTCCACGTACATGCCCACGCATGCACATCAATGCAGATAAAAACAGAGATCTCTGATCATTATTCCAGAATTATTCGTTATATCTACGTTGTAACTCTAAAATTATGTATAAGAAAACAGAATTACAAATATTAAAAGGCATGCAAAGTCCTGAGTACAGAGAATGAACTCCTAGCGGGAACGCAAAGGGGGTTATATACGTAGAAGCACTGGAGAAGTGCTCATGGATAACACTTACAAATCAAATTCCAGATCATGCAGACATAAAAAGTCATTAAGGTGTACCTAGGATTATTTAAAAGGGGTTTCGAGTTGTGCAAAATTACATCTTATTTGCAATAACTTTTAATGGACTCAAAATATAAATCAGTGAAAAACTATATCTTTTTGGCAGGTATGGTTCGGTGATGTTTTGGATATAAATTTAAAGTGTAATTCATTAACGGATATGGACCACGTTTTTTTTTTTTTTAGTATGAGATTGGTTTAACTAGCCGGATGCCCACCCATTGCCATCCCTGCCTGTGATCTGTGAAATCCTAGTTCTGCTATAAGCTCAAGAGTATCTTTAGATTTCTTAGCTAACGTTCAACCTACATCCACTCATCTAATGGTCAACGTTTTACGCATTTAAGTCTGTCCTTTCTGAGGAAAGGTAATTCTGCAGTTCACAAGCAATCCTCAGTTTGATACAATTAATGCAGGGGGGCACGAGACCATCAATGATGTTACTATATTTTTCTGTGGAAGGTCATCAGAGCAACCTAAAATAAAACCTTAAACAGAAATTAGTGGAGAATGAAGAATTGGACTCATTTCACGGTGGATGGTGGACCACCCGCCATAAAATATTGCTATAATTTCAAGCACCCAATGCATACAGCAATTAACGTCACTCTCCTAATTAGGCACTATAAAATGCGGGGGATTTGGAAAAGAATTCTCTGCAAGAAAAAGAGTGAGACTGAGATCAATTAAGTTGCCATGGGAAGGAATATTAAGGCCTGGCTTGTTTTGATTTTCTTTCTTATAGCATTTTTTGCAGGCAGTGGTATTGCTGAGGGAGCAAGAGATTTGGGAATGACAGGATCAAAGGTCTACAATCCTCAGAATTTGGGGCGGCCATTTAGGGGTTGGGGGGCTGGCCAGGCTTGGGAGGCTGGCCGGGCTTGGGGGCTGGCCGGGCTTGGGGGGTTGGCCAGGCTTGGGTGGCTGGCCAGGCTTGGGAGGAGGACTGTGCTGCGGCGGTGGTGGTGTACCAGGATTGGGAGGCTGGGGAGGAGGACCGTGCTGCGGCGGCGGCGGTGGCGGTTTACCAGGCTGGGGTTCGGGCTTGCAAAAGCCGGAGCTGGCTGGACTGAAAGATGAGGCTGAAGGAGGTGCTGGGAATGGAAAGTTTGCCACATATTACGGGGCTGCCGGTGGCCAAACCCCGTGAAAGCATGCTTTTTATTTAGTGTTACGAGGGCATCAATCAAATAAAAATGTAGACCAAATAATGAGCAGCGGCTTTGCTATGCTGGGGCGGGGGGTATGTAGCTTGTGTAAATCGTAATGCATGTCTAGTAATAATATATATGGTACTTGAGTAAAATGTCCTTCAGCTACATCTCTCTCTCTCTCTCTCTCTGTCTCTCTCTCTCTCTCTCACACACACACACACACTGTTATATACAAGCTTTTTCTGCAAAGCCTAATTGGCTGTACAGAAAAAAGCTAAGCAGTACACACCAAGACTACTTGGTTCACGTTATTCCAGCACCTGCACAAGAATCTTCGCTAGATATATACATAGTTTCATCATAGATTACTTGAATATGTCTATATATATAAAGCAAAAAGAAGAACCGTCTCTCGAACATCCAATTCTGTTTTATTGTGTTTCTCAAAGCTTTTGCTCCAATTCGTAACAGAATCGATATAATGCGATGACTTCAGCTCACACAAGATCAAGAAGCCACGTTGGGATTAACTAAATGAAAATTCCTATGGTAGGAGGATGAAGATGATTATGTGCCAGCTGATGTGAGATGGACTGATGATGTGTCACTAATCATTAGTGATTATGCTGTTAGATTGGAACCATTTGGAAGTAGGATCCAACTTGAAAGATTTAATTGGTTGTTGAAGCAATTAAAACTCTTTCAATGTTGTTTTCTAGTGAACATATATCAGAGTTTGAATTCAAATGGGGAGTCTGAGTTTAATAGAGATCAAAATATGAACTTAAATAAAGAATTTGAGATTAATTATAGAACAAAAAGTAACAACTAATATAGACTTACGTATAGTGGATTAATTACAACAACGGATCATTAGGGGATAGGGTTTCAGATGATGGGCCTGCAAATATTCATATGACTTAAGCTGAGACTTAAGCTGTCGGAATACTTCACTTATAACTTACCGAATGAAAAAGAAAGGGAAGGCTCGATATTTCCATGAAAAATAAATATTAATAGTAGTGCAAACATTGGAGAAACAATTGGGAAGAATAGTGAAGATGATATGATTACGATAGTCAATAAAAGAATTAAGATGTATGTATTTTGTATTGGAGTCGATTCTGATCAAAATAATGAGGTGGACTTGGAGGAGACTTTGAAGATTGTTGTGTCTTTGAGGTGGCTGATAGAACTACTAATCTAGAAGTCTCCGATCGGATCGCTAAACATATTGCAAGGAGAACAATGAGTGGGAAAAAGCTTTCCGATTTGATGAGTTAGAAAGATCAAGTTTAGGACTTTTTCAAAACATTTAAGTCTATAGTATCTTGCAATTGCAGGGTATTGGTAATTTGAATAAGAGAAGGGTTATAGAATATTATTAGTACTCATTAGTAGATGTTGTCTGTCGCTTAGAATCAAAACTTTCTGAATGTTCAGATTCTTCTATTGATTGTTTATGAAGCGGTCCTGATGTCAAATGGATGAATGAATGAATTTAAGCTCGATCGATACACTACAAGAAATATAGGAATAGCACTCATTAATCAGGGGCAGTTTTCTAAATACTAAGTAAATCATAGCTAATTTTGTTGATATTATCGGTTTTTAACGGTGGTTTGAAAAACCGTCACTTTGAACTCATAAATTTGAAAAAAAATATATATCACAAATTGGACCCAAGTTAGCGACGGTTTTCTATAAACCCTCGCTAAAAAACAATTTATTGGGCTTTTAGCGATGGTTTAATCAGGCTGTCACTGATTAATCCCCTCAAAATTTGAGGTTGTTAGCGACGATTTTTCCAATACCCTCGCTAAAAACGTATTTTTTGAGAGAATCATTGATGATTTTTGAGAAATCGTCGCTAAAAACTGTTTTGGTTGAATTTAATGAAGGTTCATAAGATCCTCGCTAAATTCTCAAAAAACCCAAGTGGATACATTTGGGGAATTTAGCAAGGTCCGGTCGGGCCATCGCGATTCCATCTATTTTTTGTTTATTTTGGAGGCGGATTTAGCAAAATCGTGGCTACTAGACCTTTTTGGGCGAATTTAGCGACGGTTCAAATAAACCATCGCTAAATTTTTCCAAAAACCCCAACGAATACATTTTGGGATTTGGCGACGTTCTAGTTAGATTGTCACGGATTCCACCAATTTTTGTCTTTTTAGCAACGATTTTTAGGTAAACCATCGCTAACAAACCGTTTTGTGTAACTTTAGTAACGGTTTAAATAGATCTTCGCTAAATTCTCCCCAAAAATCCAAAGAATACTTCGAAGATTCTAGTGACGGTTTGCTTAAACCATCGCTACAAAGCCCCCAAATTTTGAGGGGAATTTAGCGAGGCTTTGATGACCAAAATTTAGGCGACTTTGTAGTGACAGCTTAAGCGCACCATCGCCATAATCCTTAAAAAATGAAGGCTTTCCATTACGGTATTTTGAAAACCATCACTAGTACATCTTTTTCGATGCTTCGATGACGGTCTTATAAGATCATTGCTAAAAATTACAACTAGACGAAAATCGAAATGTTTTTTTAAAAAGTGGGATTTTGCATTTAGCGATGGGATGAAAACCGTCGCTAAACGCAAAATACCTAAAATTGATCTCCCTCTCTTTTTCTTCTTCTTTTCTCTCTTCTTTTTTTCTAGTGCCGCACCCCCTTAAAAACCTCCATTGACTCCATTAAACCATATAAACTCTCTTTCTTTCTTCTTTTCTTCTTCTTCCCTTCCATCGCTTTCCTTTTCCTCCTCCATTCCCTTTTCTTTTCTCTTTTCCTTCTCCTCCTCCATTCCCTCCTCTTCTACATGGATCGAGTAGTGTTGGCAACTACTCCTCCCTTCTTGCCTCATCCATTTTTAGCCGACATCCCAACTCAATCATTTTAAGTTCTTGAATTTTTGCCTTTGATTTCAATACATAAACTAATTTTTTTTTCGCCTTTGATTCAATACTTATATATATTGTTTTTTAATTTTTTTTTGGTTAATTGTTTGTTAGTTTAATTTATTTTATTGTTATGGTTAATCTGTTAGTTGTTATTAAATTAATTAATTTCTAAAAAAAATAATAAGGTGTTAGTTGTTATTTAGTTGTTAAATTAAGTTAATTAGTTATCAATTAAATTATTTAATAGTTTAAAAATTTAATTAGGTGTTAGTTTAATTAATTGGGGTTAATTAAGTTATTTAGCTCGTTAAATGAAGTGAATTACTTTTTAATTAAATTAATTAATTTTTTTAAAAATAATTAGGTGTTAATTAAGTTATTTAGTTGATAAATTAAGTTAATTTGTTGTTAATTAAATTTTTTAATTGTTTAAAAATTTTAATTAGGTGTTAATTAATTAATTGGTGTTAATTAAGTTATTTAATTGTTAAATGAAGTTAATTACTTGTTAATTAAATTAATTAATTAGGTGTTAATTAAGTTATTTAGGTGTTAAAATGAGTTAATTAGTTGTTGATTAAATTAATTAATTTCTAATTAAAAAATTAATTTAATTAATTAGGTATTAACGGTGATAAAATAAGTTAATTAGTTGTTGATTAAATTAATTAATTTCTAATTAAAAAATTAATTTAATTAATTAGGTATTAACGGTGATAAAATAAGTTAATTAGTTGTTAATTAAATTAATTAATTCTTAATTAAAAAATTTAATTAAGTGTTATTTTAATTAATGTGGTGTTAATTAAGTTATTTATGTGTTATAATAAGTTAGTTGTTAAGAAAAAACTTTATTAGGTGTTACATTTATTTATTTGGGTGTAATCTTATAGTTCATACTTGTATGAAATAATTTGTTATATTATTTTTCATCAAGATTATTATTGAAATATTTATGTAGTAATACTTGAAATGTGAAAAAAATTGACATGTTTGGTCACCGATATTAGGGTGACACCTCGTGGATATGACTTCCCTTGGAAAATAATTGAGAAGGTATAAGGTCGATGTCAATGCTCGCGATGGAGACGGGAAGACAAGAATAATTAATTTGATGTTAATTATGTTTTCCGTTAATTGAGAAACGTCCAGTTTATATGGGAAACTCGTCAAAATTTTGTTAGAATTTAATTAGTTGTAATACATTTTTGTATGATGTCCAATGCATAATTTTTAAATAATAATAAATAGTTATTCTGTTTTTTCCTTAAATTTGCAAACAAAAATAATTATGAATTCGAATTGTTCATGAATTGACTATAGATATACCAATTGTCTTTTAAATCGGTGTTTCATTAATGGTGTAAATGAATTTATTACTTTTGTCGTTATTCATTTTGAGTGTATGGACAAAAATAAGATAAGATGTCCTTGTAAACTCAAAAAGTGTTAGAACTATTTCCTAATATGGACCCGTCTAAAATAATCTAAGATTATTTATTTGGATAGTCCAAATAAATTAATTGGGCTAAAATGGTTTTGGCCCGTTAGGTTTTAATTAAAAAGTTTTAAGATATTTTGGTGGGACGATAAACATCAACCTTATTGGATAAGGATGAATTTTTTAAAGATAGTGATCAAAAATCCACATATAAAATAAACCTTGAAGGATAAGGAAGCAACAACCATAAGTCCAATTAGAACTTATTTGCCGCCCTTCTCCTTGTCCTCCTTGTCCTTGGAGGACAAGGAAACTCTCCCCCGTACATAGGAGAAGAAGTGCGGCATAAGGATTGGATTTTGAGGGGAAAGAAAATTCGGCCAACATAACACAAAAAGAGAGAGAAAGAGAAATTTCGACCGATCCTAAATAATCAATAGGATACAAAGCCAAGAGAGAATAAATAAGAGAAAATAATTTTCTCCAAAACCCTAGCAAGCCACACTCTTTTGTTTTCTTTTAAGGTTGTCACAAAATTGTCTTAGATTGAATTTCTAAATGAAACACTACACAAATCGGAAAAGGTGGAGCTAGCACCCGATCGATTTTCGAGTGCTTCTTTGTGGATATTTGGACTATGTGAATCATCAATAAAGGTCGGACTCTTAGACGATTTTTTTATAAAAGAATTTAAACCCGCACTACAAAAGGTAATCTTTTATTTATTTCTTAAAATTCATGCATGTATGGTCGGTATATTCAAAGACTTGATCTTGGGCCATTAGATGGATAAAATTTTTTGTTTATTCCGCATCTCTATAGGATGCATGATCCTTCAATTATTAGATATGAATGATTTTGATGTGATTTTAGGAATGGACTGGTTAGAAAATTATCATGCTTCACTAGACTACTACAATAAAGTAGTACATTTTAGTAATTTAGAAAAAGAGGGGTTTTTTTTTCAATGAGAGTAGAGTGTAGCTCCCTCTAGCCTAATATCCGCCATTAAGGCACGTAAGATGATAAGAAATAGGTATGTGGCATATTTGGCATATGCGAATGAGACAAATGATAATGTGATCCGTTTGGACCAAGTCCCAATCGTTATGGAGTTTTTCAATATGTTACCGGATGAACTACCTAGTCCGCTTGTAGATAAAGAAATAGAGTTCATTGAATTACTCTCGAATACCGAACCTACCTTTATACCTTCCTATTGGATGGCACCGAGTTGAACTAAAGGAGTTGGTGGTTTAGCTTCGGGACTTGTTGGATAAGGGTTTTATCCGACTTAGCATTTCTTCATAAGGTGCTCTAGTTTTGTTTGTCAAGAAAAAAGATGGGAGTTTGTGGTTATGCATTGATTACCATCAACTGAATAAAGTGACTATAAAGAATAGATATCCATTACCAAGGATTGATGACCGGTTTGACCAATTACAAGATGCAAAATATTTCTTCAAAATTGATTTGAGGTCTAGGTACCATTAGTTAAGGATTAAGAGGGAGGATACTGCTTTTAGGATACGGTATGGTCATTACAAATTTTTGATGATGTTTTTTAGTCTTATTAATGCTCTAATAACTTTTATAAACTTGATGAATGGGGTGTTTGGTCGCTTCCTCAATAAGTTTATGATAGTGTTTATTGTTGATATTTTTATATACTCTAAGAATGAGAGAGAGTATGAAAATCATCTAAGATAATGTTGCGGACATTGAGGGACCATAAGTTGTATGCCAAGTTTTTGAAGTATGAGTTCTACTTGGAGAATGTGGTATTACTAGGAAACATTGTGTCAAAAGAATGGATTATTATGGACCCAAAGAAAATAAAGGCAATAACCCATTGACGGAGACCTACTTCGGTGATTGAGATTTATAGGTTTTTAGGTTTGGTTGGACATTATTGAAGGTCCGTGCAAGATTTTTTAAGAA